TAAAAAAATATTGTCTTACACAGCTTGGGCAACGTGATGAAACCCTGTCTACAAAAAAGACAAAAAGTTAGCTGGGCTTGGTGGCATGTGCCTGTAGGTCCAGCTACCTGGGAGACTGAGATGGGAGAATTTAATGTTCCATTTAGAGCACAGGTAGAGTAGATTTAGCATAATTCTTAAGGGTCATAGGATGTTTACAATGGTAAATGAGAATTGGCTACACGTTAGTCACCAGCTGCACTGGTCCCAACAAGAGGGGCAGCCTGTCCTGTGAAGTTTTGAAGCCAGACATTGACTTCTCCTCTCTAGCTATGAAAGTTTTAGATGGCATCTTCCTCCAATATAAGGCTGTTTTATCTACACTGAAACTCTGTTGTTTAGTGTAGCCACCTTTATCAATGATCTCAGCTAGATCTTCTGGATAACTTGCTTTAGCTTCTCCATCAGCACTTGCTGCTTCACGTTGTACTTTTATGGTATAGAGATGGCTTCTCTCCTTAAACCTCATGAACCAACTTATGCCAGCTTCAACCTTTTCTTCTTCAGCTTCTTCATCTTTATCAGCTTTCATAGATCTGAAAAGAAAACCTTCCCCTAGATTAGGCTTCGGCTAAAGGGAATGTTCTGGCTAGTTTGATCTATCCATACTATAAAAACTTTCTCCACATCAGCAAGAAAGCTGTTTCACTTTCTTATCATGTATGTGTTCCCTGGAGTAGCACTATTACATTTCTTCAAGAACTTTTCCTTTGCATTCACAACTTGCTTAACTGTTTGTCACAGGAGGCCCAGCTTTCAGCTTATCTCTGTTTTCAACACGCCTTTCTCACCAAGCGTAATCATTTCTAGATTTTGATTTAAAGTGAGAGGCATGTGAGTCTTTCACTTGAATGCTTAGAAAGGCCATTGCAGGATTATTAATTAGCTTGATTTTCAAATTATTGTGTCTGTGGGAATAGGGAGGCACAAGTACAGGGAGAGGGGTGGGGAGCAGTTGGTCAGTGGAGCAGTCAGAACACACTTTTTTTGGTTAAAATTGTTCACCATCTTATATGGGCACAGTTCCTGGTGCTCCAAAATAATTACAATAATAACATGAAATATTACTAATTACAGGTCACCATAACAAATATAATTTTAAAAAGCTTTGAAATTTTGTAAGCATTACCAAAATGTGACACAGAGATACAAAGTCAGCACACGCTGTTGGAAAAACAGCCGATAGAGTGGCTCAATGCAGGGTTGCCAGAAACCTGCAATTTGTGAAAGACAGTATACGTGAAGGATGATAAAGCAAAGTATGATAACATGAGGTATGCCTGTAAATTACCACTTATGTCAATACATTCACACTGTCATATGAAGAGAAAGTTATAGTTAAACATTTCATGAATACGAATTTTAATATATCACCAGTGATCCTTAAAACTCAGATTTCTTAAGGTCCTAGCCTCTTTAAGCAGAGTTTATAATGAGAAAGTACTACCCCCTCACCCAGCAAAACATAAAGTAATTCCTGGTAAAATGCCTGTTCTCTAAGATTATCTCACACTGGCACTGAGAAAATGAGATTGGTAAAGGTTCCAATAAATACATTTAAGGGTAAATGAAAAGGAGTGAGAACATGTTTATCTCCAGCCAACATATCAAAATTCCTTCCAGAAGTCTATAAGGATTTTTGACTATGCCCCATCATCCAATATCACAGTAGCATGTTTAGATAGCATACAATCTGCAGAAGAGCAAAAGCACTAAAAAAAAAATAAACTTGCATTTGTTGTTTGACTACATAATGACATTGAACCCATATCTCCAACTATAGTAAATAGTCATATGCATAACTTTTCCTAGTGGTAATATTTTCAGTTTAGATATTACAAGTTTATAATTAGGAGACATTACCCATGGTCTCCATTTGGACATTTGTATTCTAATGGTGACAGGTAACAATGCCAGACAAAAAAATTGCAACTTTCATCTTCAACTCAATAAAGTGTGTGTGTGTATGTGTGTGTGTGTGTCTGTGTGTGTGTGTGTGTATGTGTGTTTTATCTTGGTACATGGGGAATAAATGTACCTTACATTAAAAAAATATTGTCTTACACAGCTTGGGCAACGTGATGAAACCCTGTCTACAAAAAAGACAAAAAGTTAGCTGGGCTTGGTGGCATGTGCCTGTAGGTCCAGCTACCTGGGAGACTGAGATGGGAGAATTACCTGAACTCAGTGGTTGACACTAAAGTGAGATGTGATCATGCCACTGCACTATAGAGTGAGCCCTGTCAGAAAGAGAGAAAGAGTAAAAGAGAGGAAGGAAGGAAGGAAGGAAAGAAGGAAGGAAGGAAAGGAGGGAGGGAGGGAGGGAGGGAGGGAAAATTTTTGTGTTTGAACAATTATAATATTGTCATTTTTCTTCTACAAATTAATACTAAAACAAGATCAAAATGTAAGAATTAAAGTGACAACAGAAGTAAAACAAAAATTCAACATGGAGATTATATAAAATAATAAAATGTTACCTTAATTGTATAACTAATACATAAGATAAGCATATGATAAGGTAGAATCCTAGTCCCCAGTTTACTTTATATGTGTTCTTAAATATTAATTTTTATATGCCAATTTTTAAAAAGCA